AAAAACAGCCAGGTGGAATTCAGGGATAAGTCAGACACCTCCAGGCTCAGATCCCTACAGCTCCAACACAACCCCCAAGAGAAGCCAACCCTAATTCTCCAGCCTGTGCCCACAATAATTCACCCCACCTCCAGAGCTTCCAGGCTCATCCCAGGGTTTTTCCTGGGGTTTTCCTGCCTTACCAGTGGGATATCAACCCCCCAGAGCTGCCCGCCCAGCTTGCAGTTGATCTGCAGGAGAACTTTCTGCACCACGCTCTTGATCTTGCCAGGGTGGCCTGTGAGGGACTGGGCGTTGATGACCTGCAGAGAGGGGAAAACACAGGGAAAAGTGAGGCTGGAGACAGCCAAGGATTCCCAGGAATGGGGGGAATGGGGGTCTCAGCCCACCTGGGAGGGCACCGGGGTCTGCACACAGCAAAGTTTCTTGACAGCCCCGTAGATGTCGTCCCGGCCGCCGGGGATGATGCACAGGAGCAGCTGCACCTTGTCCTGAGGGGAATCGTGGAATTGTTCAGGTTGGAAAAGCCCTCCTGGGATCACTGAGTCAAACCTAAAGTCACCAATAACCCACGTCCCCAAAGGGCCACATCCACACCCTCAGGGATGGGGTATCCACCACCTCCCTGTGCAGCCCATTCCTGCATTTAACAATGAAAAAAATGAATTTTTTCCCCATGAAAAAAATTCCTCCTGGTGTCTAACCTGAGTCTCCCCTGGCACAGTTTGAGGCTGTTCCCTCTTGTCCTGTCCTTTGTTCCCAACCCCTACCTGACTTCACCCTTCTGTCATAGATTTTTAGGGGAAAACAAGGACGCCCTGGTGCTCCCAATGATCCCCCAGGATGTCCCCACTCCTCACCTGGCTCCCCAAGGAGCTCTGGATGGTCCTGACGTAGGTCTCGATCCGATCATCCCGCAGCTCCTGCACCGTGGGGTGCCCCACCTGCATTCCCATGGCCCCACAGCTGCTCCTCATGGCTGCCACCAGGTCCTTGGCCAGGTGCTGCAGTCGCTTGTGATAGATCAGGAGCCAGGAATTGATGGAGATCTGGGAGAAAAGCCAGCACAGGCCGTGGTTTGGGGGTGCTCGGCTCCCAATCCAGGCAGCACGTTCCTGTTTGGGAGAGGAGAAACCTGCACAGCACATAGGGGAATTTGGGAGAGGAAAACTGGGCCTAGAGGAAGCTGGAGCACAGCAGGGAGATTGGGAGAGGGAAATCTGGGAGAGGGAATTCAGGCCAAGCACAGAAGGGAATCCAAGAGAGGGAAAGTGGCCCAAAGAGAAATCTGGAGCCCAGAGGGGAATTTGGGAAAATGGCCCAAGAGAAATTTGGATTGAATTCCATCCAATTCCTGCATGTCAAAGGCTCCTCCACCCTGGGATGAGGTGGGAAAGCAGACACCACAGCCACGTACCTCCAACTCCTTCAGAAAAACAGGCTGGAGCGCAAATCCAACAAAAACAAGGGAAGGGTTTGTGCTGGAAGCTGCTCAGCCAGAATGCCAGAGCTCAGGAAAACCCATCCCAGCTTTCCCACCAAGGGGAGGCTGCTGCTCACCACGGCAATGGGCACCTCCTTCGTCACCTCCCGGTGCCAGCTCAGGTCCTCGGCGGGAAGGAAGGAGCGGTGCCGGAGGTTGATGCGCTCCACGGGCAGGATGTGACCCTGGGTCTGGGCAAGAGGGATTTTTTGGAGTTTCCTCCACTGTCTCCACGCCCAGGGGGAAGGCTGGGAGGCCCTGCAGCCCTTACCCTGTAGATATCTGTGTCCAGGCACAGCCCCCAGCGCTCCAGCTCCTGGGAAGCTTCTGGGGTGTCACGGATGCGGCACAGGAGGCTGGTGAGGCGCTGGTAGTGCTGCTGGGGGCTCTGGATCATCTCCCACATCACCTCCTGCACCAGCAACACCCAGAGGTGAGGGAGGGCTTGGGGTTCTCCCCAGACCTTCGAGAAAAATGGGATCAGGGGGATGAGACAGGCTCTGACCTTCAGTGTCCGGCTGTTCTTGCGGAGGTCGGAGAGGCCGGTGAGGAAGGTGAGCTCTGGCACGAGCAGCACCATCTCCAGCTGCTGCTGCAGGGAGGGACAGGCACTGTCAGCATTCCAGGGGCTGGGAATCCCTGCTCTCCCCAGGGCCTGGAGGAGACCAGAGCAGCCCGTGGATCTCCGTGCCCAGCTCACCTTCCCCTTCAGCATCTGTTTCTCCTTGGGCTTGTGGACGAGCAGTGGCTGATCCAGTTCCCTGATGGTGATCCCGTAGGTCTTGCTGGAAAAGCAGCATCGTCACACAAGCCTGGAATTTCAGTTTGGAACAGGAACAGAACACCCAGTCCCAAACCCCTGTGGGCAGCAAAACCTCCCTGCTGCCACTCCCCCACCTCAGCTCAGCACCAGGCATGGAGCCCCTCCCTATCCCACGGGATGATCCAGCAGCTCCTCCTCACCTGTAGTACTCCACAAAGGTGATCTCCTGGCCGCTGGCCAGGGTGAAAGTGTCCTTGGGGGTCTTGTCCCAGTCGATGTCATCCACTCGATAGGTGCGGTTGTTGTAGCGGGTCATGACCACGCAGCCCACCAGCTGCTTGATGCACTCCTCCTGGAATGTCCTCTGGCTCTGGGAGTGGATGGTTTGCCTGGGAGAAGAGGAGAGAAGGCATGGAATGCTCCCTCCCTGTGCTATCCCAAAACTAAAGTGCCTTTCACAGCACCCTCGTCCCCAGAGCTTTTGGGGTTTTTGCTTTTCTCACATCACGCTCAGGATGGACTCGCTGCGGATGATCTTGTGGATGGCGTCCACCATGAGGAAGAGCCCCCTGTCCTTCTTCCGGATGCTGACAGCATATCCTGGCCAGATATGGAGGCTGTGTCCAGAGGGAAACAGGCCTGAGTTAACCCAGAGTAGCCAAGGAACACCCAGGACTCAGGGATTTATTTCTACTCCTCAGAACAGCTGCTCCAAAGCCAGAGCTGACCTGGGAAAACTTCCCAGTTTCCAGGGAAACAGGGATGATCCTGTGGGAAGGAAGGTGTCAGCACCCACCTGTACTTCTGTAGAGTTGTGGCCTGGGCAGGCTCAAAGAAATGTCTCCCAACCAGGCTCATGTTTAAGATTTTCATCACCCTAAGGAAGGAAAAGCAGGAAAAGTAGGACTGGATGAGGATTGGAAGCAGGAAGGAGGAAAGCTCCTCCCTGGAGCTCGGGGAGGGTCTCTTTGGTCTCTCACCTGCGGAAAACCACGTTGTAGAAGGGGATGCAGAGATCCGAGCTGGGTTCCAGGGTTTTGGTCATCTGGATGTTGATGGTGATCTCCTCCCCGCTGCACTTCCTCTGAACCTTCAGGCTGACCTTTGGCAGGGCCACAGGGGGTTCTCCCACCCAAAACAGGGTTACCCCTGCACCCCCAAACTGGGTGAGACCCCCCCTCACCCCTTACCTTGGGGATCTGGATGGGCAGGAAGAGGATGGAGCCGTCAAAAGCCATCACGTCCCCGGTCACGGCACGCTGCTCCTTCAGCATGGCAAAGCGGGTATTCCTGCATTCCACCTCGGGGCTGGGGGCACACAGGGGCTTTTCTCCCTCCTCTGCCCATCCCACACCTTGCTCAGCCCTTCAAAAATCCCCCCTGAAGGCGAAAACCCAGAGCTCTTTGTTGTGCCAGGGCCGCTTCACCTCACGGCAGCCTGGACAACAAGAGGGACACAAGATGCTCTGCTTGGGGACACCCCAACCTCGAGAGGCTGTGGGGGACCCTGGCCCCCCATTATCACCTGAAGGTTACGTGGTACTGGTAGACAGCTTCGTTCTTGCAGTGGATCTTTACCAAGTTCAGCCCCACAGGGACCGTGGCTCCCTTCACCACCGGCTTCGTCCCCTGCGTCCTGCGAGGGACAGGGGGTCAGCAGTGACCCAGCAGTACCTGGACCCCAAAACGTGGGGCTGGGGCCACCACTTACAGCCTGGCAGCAGCCGGGGGGGTCGCTGGGGTGGGCACGGGCTGGGTGGGCAGGACCAGGGGGCTGGGTGGGCACAGGGCTGGCACAGCAGCAGTGGTGGCTCTTCCAGGCTGGGTGGGCAGCGCGTCCCCTTTGCTTTTCCACAGGATCCTGCATCCACAGGGAGGGCTGGGGTGAGCGCTGGCACACGCTGGGGACACACTGTGGGGTGGCCTGGCTGCAAACCCCCAGCGATGACCACGACACCCTCAAAAAATCCCCCTGCTCCTGCCCCACAGCAGCCTGGGGGCTCAAAACACCCAAGTTTTGGGATAGAGGGATAGGAGGGACAGAGATGGGGAAGACAGAGGGAATAGGGCAGACCAGGAGGACCCAGAGGAGGGTGGGCACTGAGGGTTTTAGGTTAAACTGAGGTTTTAGGGGACTCACTGCCCGCGTGTGGGGAGCGCCGCCAGCGCTGCCCCCTTCTCCTCCTCCTTCTGCTGCTGCACCGGGCCGGGCGGAACCGGAGCCGGAGCCTTCCCATCGCCAGCACCGCCACGGCCTGCGGGAGCAGGGGCACCGTGAGCCGGCGAACGGGGCTGAGCTGGGCCCTTCCACCCCCTCACCACCGGCACCTACCGAGAGGCCTCTCCAGAGGCCGCTCATACAGGCCCAGCCCGCGGAACAGCGCGGGGAACGGCGACGACACGGGTCGGGGCTGGGCGGGGCGGGGTGAGGGTAAACGAGGGGGGAAAGCCGCGAGCCCGCGGAGCCCCCGCGCCATGGGGACGGCGGGGCCGGGGCCGGGGCCGGGGCCAGGCCGAGGCCTGGGCTGGCACAAAGGCCGCCGAGGGTCCATGGCCGCCCCGTCGAGGCGCGCGCGCGCCCCGCGAACCGCGGCCACGCCGCCGCCGCCGCCCACGGCGCACGCGCGGCCCCGCCCACGCGCGGGCGCGGCGCTGATTGGGAGGCCCACGAGGACACGCCCCCCTCCACGCCGCGGCGCCCCCTGGCGGAGGGGGCGTGGGCGATGAGGGGAGAGCACGAGGGAAGGGCGGGGGTGGAGAAAGGGGCGTGGTCAACAGGGGAGTGGGAGGGGTTATGCAAATTAGGACGTGGACATGACGGGAGGGAAATGAGCTGCGATGGGGCAAGAAGGGGTGGGGTGGGGGGATAATACGGAATTAGGGGGTAAAGTGGGACGGGCAGGGGAGGGTTAAGATGGAATTCGGGGGGTAAAATGTGATGGCGTGGGATGGGATGCGAGATAAACGTGAGAAGGGCAAGTGCAGGCCCAGCCCTGCCAAGGTTGTTGGTGCCCACCATCCCTGCTCCCTGCTCAGGGTGCCACCAGGCACCACGATGACAGCCCTGTCACCCCCCAGGACACCGTGGGGGTCTCCCACTGCCCCCCACCCGCCTCAGCCATACCCAGGGAAACCCCAAGGCCTTGCAGGGCTCAGTAGAGGTGACAGCACAACACTAAGCAGCCCCACACAGGGGGAAAAAAGGTTTTATTCCAGGATTTTCCCCCAAGACATGTGTCCTGCTCCCACCAGCGTGTCCACAGAGCTGGGGGACACACCACGGTCCCAAACACCCCGAGATCCCCATTTGGCACTGGGGGGAAGCCACCGGTTTGGGGGACACAGCCGGACACCCTGCAGGGCTGGAAGGAGGTAGGAGCTGACTTTGCACCCACACCTGCACGAGCCCCCTCCCCACGACCCAAAGGCACATCTGAGGGGGGCTGAGGGTCCATCCCTGGGGGTTGGGACCCCCTGGGCTACCGGTGCCGGTGCTCCAGGAGAGCCTCGAAATCCGGGGAGCAGACGAGCTTGTGCCGCACGTGGCCCAGCACAATCATCTCGCCTGTCCGGTTGTCCCCGATGCCGACGGACACCAGCTCCTGTTCCACGAGGGAGAAACACCCATGAGCCCCCCAATGCCACAGGAATCCCTGGGAGATTCCAGTGCTGAGCCTGGAGATGTCCCCAGAGGGGATCAGCAGGATCCATCCCCACTGTTATCACAGGGAAGGGATGCCCAAGAGCCAGCACGATCCCCTGGGGGTTATTTTGGGGTGAAATCCCCCCCAGATGGGGTCTCAGTGTCCCTTCCATACCTGTAGGAAGGAGCAGGGGGTGCCCATGGTCACATCCAGAGTCACCTTGCCCAGCACCAGCTGCACTTTTCCCGATTTTCGGATGAGCAGCTTCCCCACCTGTCCCTCGGGGAGGTCAGCCAGGGTGCAGGTGTTCTCTGCCTGCTTCGCCTCCTGCCATGGCACAGCGGGATTGGGATCACAGCATGGGATTGGGATCACCCCAAGGGATTGGGACCACAGCACGGGACACCATGGGTCGGGAGGAACATCCTCATGGGCTTAGGAGAGACCACACCACAGGAGAGGAGCAATCCCACCCCAGGATGAGGAGACACCCCCTCCTGAGAGCCCCTACCTGGCTCTTCTCCTGCTTCACCACCACCACCTGCCCGTCCTCGTTGTGCAGCTCGGATTTGATGGGTTTGGAGTCGTGGGTGGGGGGCTGGCCGGGCAGGGTGTCGGGGAGCTGCAGGAACACCAGCTCCTCCTCAGCTGCCAGGCTCAGCCTCTGCAGCAGCTCAGCTGCTGACACATCCTGGGGGAATCCAGGCGGGCCCTTGGGCTGTGCTGGCTTGGGATCCTCCTCACACGGCTCTTCCTTCACTGCAGAGGTAGTGAGTGGGCATGGAGAAAAGGGGGACACCCCCAGCTTGTCCCTGCTGTGTCCCCAACCCAGCCCAGCCCACCTTTCACCGCTGGTGGGTCCAGCTCCATCTTCTCCTCCTTGGACCCAGGGAGCCATGGCTGGGTGTCCTCCTGCTCTGCCATCTCCTCCTTGAAGAGCCATCCTGAGTTGGCCAGGGGCAGCTGCACCGGCTTGTTCCGGATGTCATTCTTCAGCCCGGGGTCATCCAGGAACTGTGGGGACAGCAGGGGACACTCAGCACCACCCCAGTGACACCAAAGCCACCCCCTTTCCTTGCTGCCCACTGACATCGTCCTTCTGCAGCATCCGCAGGATCTGCTTTGTCTCCTCGTCTGTCTCCCGCTTCTCCTTCTTGATGTTGATGATGTGGGAAGGGCCAAAGTCGGACATGTCCACGGTCTTGTCCCAGGAGCCTGCTGGGGGACACAGGAGCAGCCCAGGGTCACCCTAAGTGAGACAATCCCCCCCCCCCAAAAAAAAAAACCAGAAGGAAGCTCCCCTTACCTTTCTTCTTCATCATTTCAGCAGGGCCCTGCTCGAAGATGGAGTGGGACTGGATGACCTCGGGCCGACCCCGGCCCCGGCCGTGCCCATCCCGCTGCCTCTCCCGCTCCTTCTTCTCCTTCTTGACCGTCACGTCCTCCCGGGGCCTGCGGGGCAGGCAGGGGGAACATCACCCCCAGCCCTGACCCAAGCCCCTCCCAGGACATGGATATTTTTGGAAGGAACTTCTGGACATCACCCGGAGATATTTGTGTGGATATTTAAGATGTTTCCATGGATATTTGGGATATTTATATGATCAATGGGATCCCCTCTCAATCCTCCCTTTTCCCGACCAACTCAGCCCAGTTCCCACAGTCTCTCCTCCTCAGAGGAGACCCCAAATCATCCCTGTGCCCCCCGGGGACCCCTCTGCTGGCAAATCTGCCCCTGCCCCCTCTGGAAACAATCCCAAAGCCACTCACTCCTCCTTGATCTTCCTGCTGATGATGTTGGGGGTGAAGGTTTTCTATGGGCAAGAACAGAGAGAAAAAAGTCATTCCCAAAAACCCCCTCGGGGTCTCTCACCACCCACCCCCAGCCTGGGGTCCCCAAAGCCTCTCTGGGTCAGGACATTGGCTGACCCCAATTTGGGTAGGGGGGGTTGGGACTCACCTTTTTGACACCCCCCAGGGTGAGGTCTCGGGAGCGGATGGAGGGCAGGCGGCCCGGGCTGAGGGGAGGGGCTGCGGGGCGTCTGCCCAGCACCCCCCGAGCCCCCGGGAGCCCCGGCCGGAGGCTGCCCGGGGAGCCGGAGCTGCCAGAGCCCCCCTCGGCCATCCTGTGGGGAGGGGGCACGCTCAGGGACACCTGAGGGGCTCAGGGGGGGTCCTGCACCCCCAAACAAAGCTCAGTCATACACCCACCCCAATAATGAACCCCCTGCGTCCCCAAATAGGGTCCACGTGTAGCCCCCTCCCCAGGGGGGTCGTGTCTCCCCTGCACCTCCAGGACCCTTTTGTCCCCCGTCTCCAGGGGTCTCAGTACCCCCCATACACCCCCAAACAGGACCCATTTGTCCCGTCCTCCCCAGGGGTCTCACCATCCCCCTGCTCCGCCATCCCAAAGGGTCTCGGTTCCCCCCCATTCCCCTCAGGACCCCCTCGGCCCCACTCCTTAGGGGTTCAGACCCCCATTACCCACTCACGCCCCCAAAACCCATTCTCAGCCCCCTCCTCACGGGCCTCAGGCCCCCCTGCGCCCCCTCCCCAGGGGTCTCAGCCCCCTCCCTGTCCCCTTTTACCCACTCTCACCCCTCTCCCCAGCATTCCCACCTCCCTATACACCCCCAAACAGGACTCACTCTCCCCCCGCTCCCCAGGGCTCTCACCCCCCTCCTCGAACCCCTCAGGACCCTCTCGACCCCCCCAAAAATCCTCCCCCCTCCCCCGCCACGCCACCCCTTACCCTGCCCGGGCAGCCACGGGCTCGCCGCCCCCACTGCGCATGCGTCACGCATGGCGCGCCCTTCCTGGGGCGACGCTGCCGCCGCCATCTTTGCTGAGGGCACGGCGGGTTTGCCAATGAGCCGCCATCTTTGTGGTTGGCATTGCCCAGAACTATGTGAAGGCGACGGCGCCATCTTTTTGACGGGCAGTGCCCGGTTCTCCGGACTGGGCACCGGGGGCAGCGCTGGGGGGGACATTTTGGGGGGGGTTACTCAGCCATTCATTTAACACCCTCACGGGATTCCTGCAGTGCAAACACCTCCCCCAGGGTCCTCTGCAGCCCCACAGCCAGCCGGGCACCCCCACAGAGGGGGTTCATGCGTGGGCACCCCTCGCAGAAATTTGGGGGCAATGAGGTTTTTGGGATGCTCTCCCACCCGACCACCCGAAAGGAGCTTTGTCCTTCCAAGAAGGGTGTTCACTACGTGCAAAACAAAAAGTCCATCCGTCCTCCCCCCTTGGGCTCTGCACCCCGATTCCCGCGGAGGTCCTGTGTGGGTACCAGCATTCCCACGCACCACATCCATCCCATTTTTGGGGCCGGGAGGGGGGTGTCCTTGTTGTCCTGCAAGCGGCACAACCGGGACATCCCCCCCCCCCGGGTCCCAAAAATTGAGGGGAGCAGGCAGAACCTGCCCACCACCCACCCCCAATCTGCACCCACATCCCACTCTGCCTCCATCACCTGACGCCGCACGCATCCCTCCATCCCATTGGCAGAACCGGGAGGTTTTTCCTTCCTCCCCCTTCTCTCCCAGCTCCTTGGATATCTATTTTTCCCATATTTTTTTTTCCTCTCCCTCCTCTGGAGGGTGTTTGCTATTTCCGAGCTGGCTGGGAGGATCCCAGTCGCATCAGCCGCAGGCAGCGACGCGGCATCGCCGGGTACCACTGCGATCCCTCCGGCATCCTCCGTCCTTCCCGCTTGGATCAGCCCCGCCGGGGCTCTCTGTCCTGCCCTCCCTTCCCATCTCCTGCCCTGCCGCTCCACCGGCATCCCCGCGCCTCCCGGCAGCCCCCCGGCACGGCCAGGTAAGGGCCTCACCGGCACCGTGACACCGGAGCAGCCACCAAATGCCGGTGGCATCGGGGCGACATCCCCATGGCATCGCTGAGGGATGCTCGGGGGTGGCAGGGGGGACACGGTGGGGGCACGGCATCGCTGAGGGCTGTTAGGGGACATGAGGTGTTGGGGACACGGGGACACGGTGACACGATCCAGCTGGAACAATCCCGGTGCAGAATTCCTGCGCCACCGCCGGGCACGGGAATGGGGCAGTGAGGTGGCACCTTGTCCCCAGCGCGGTGACCTTCTGCCGTGCCCGAGGGCTTTGGCGAGGGGGACGCGCGGGGTGACAGCGGCTTTGGGGTGCCTGGGGGTGCAGGAGGAGGGGGGCTGGGGGGTCTGCGCAGATGGGGGGGACACGTGGCCGTGGGTGGCCGTGGGTGCCAAGTGACGGGGACACACACACGGCTGAACCCGGCGTGGGTGGCCGTGGGCACACGGGGCGGAGGGGTGGTGGTGGCACGTTGGCACCCCCGCGGAGCCACGGCTGCCCCCGCACAAAGCCGGGGTGAATTGTGGGGGTCACCCTCCCATCCAGCCCCCCTCGGAGCACCCCCCCATTCCCGTGCCGTGGATGTGACTCCGTGTCCCCCCTCCGAGGGCATCGCCCACCCCCAGAGCGCCTTCCCGAGGCGCAGGGAAACTGAGGCACGGGCCGGGGCAAAGGCGGATCCAGCTTTTCCAGTGCCTGCGTCCAACCCTCCCCTCTCTCCCAGCAACTCCCTCGGCTCTCCCCTTGTTTTTCTTTCCCCACCCGGTGTTGAGCAAACCCCGAAACGCCCGCTGGCGTCGCGCCGGGGCCCCGCGGCACCCGGGGGAGCGGCCGGGGCCCCCGCACCCGACCGGGCTTGTTCCCGGCGTCCCGCTGCCTGCTCCTGCCTGCGCTGCCTATTCCTGGCTCCCGGCCGCTTTTCCACCCCGGTGCCATCTGCTCCGCCGCGGGCGGCCTTGGCAGCTGCCGACGTGGGCAGCGAGAGGGGGCTCGGCACCCCCAAAACCCCCGCGCTGTGCCCGCAGGAGCTCAGCCCCTCCGGCCATGGAGCTGCTCTCCACCCCCAAAAACATCGAGATCAACAACATCACCTGCGATTCCTTCCGCATCTCCTGGGCTATGGAGAAGGGGGACCTGGAGAGGGTCACCCACTACTTCATCGACCTCAACAAGAAGGAGAACAAGAATTCCAACAAGTTCAAGCACCGGGTGAGCCGGGGGAGGACGCGGGACCCCCTGCCCGGGGAGAGGAGACGGGGTCGGGAGGGAGGAACTGGCTTTTAGCCCTCTCTAGTGCTGAATTTGGGTCATTCCCCTCACGGGACACGCTGGCGGAGGGGACTGCGATGGGGATCGGGGGGTGACGGACCCCGCTGAGCCCCCGCGGGGGAGCTGAGCTGCTCCTGCTCCCCCTCCCCGTGCTGCGAGTCACTAATTCGGGCCGTTTTTAGCAGCGCCGTTGCCACGGTGATGCTATTTAATGTTTAACATTATTTTTTTTCTCTCCTCCCCAATAATAAGGGGTGGGGGGGTGGGGGGTGGGATATTTTTTTCCCCTCTATCTCCCGACTTCAGCATCCGCCGTTGCCACAGAAACGGCTCTGCACTGCGGAGCTGCTCCGTGGCCTATTGACACCGCGAGATGCCACCGGGAGCGGGGGGTCCCCGAGACCACCCCCACCTTGGGGACCCCGCGTCCCCTTCGCAGCTGGGACATGTTTGGGGCAGAACTGTGGGGACAATGCGGGGGGGGGGAAGCCCGAGACGTGTCACCACGGTGTTTTGGGGGGGGTCTCGATGGATATTTTGGGGTGTGTGGTACCCGGCAGCATCCCCGCGGCACGGGGCGGGGGTGCGGGGCGGGGGTCTGGGGCGGGGGGATGCTGTCCCTCCTGACCCTCAGCACTCGGCACAGGATGTCCCCACCAAGCTGGTGGCCAAGGCGGTGCCGCTGCCCATGACGGTGCGGGGCCACTGGTTCCTGAGCCCCCGCACCGAGTACAGCGTGGCCGTGCAGACGGCGGTGAAACAGAGCGACGGCGAGTACCTGGTGTCCGGCTGGAGCGAGACCGTGGAGTTCTGCACCGGGGGTGAGCGGGACCGGAGCGGCCCGGAGCCGGGAGGGACCATGGGGGCGTTCCCGGGAGCCCGGAGAGAGGATGGGGGCGATCGCAGGAGCCGGGAAATGGGAGGAGGACGGGGGCGATGCTGGGAGCCAGGAGGGAGGACGGGATTGATGCCTGGAGTCAGGAGATGGGACGGGGGATGGAGACTATCCCGGGAGATGGGAGGAGGATGGAGGCGATGCTGGGAGGATGAGGAGGACAGGGGAGGGAGTTGGGAGGCAGGAGGGAGGATGGCGTTGATGCCTGGAGCTGGGAGATGGAAAGGGGAAGAGGGCAACGCCTGGAGCTGAGAGGGAGGACGGGGATGATGCCAGGATTTGGGAGCAGGGAGGGAGAACAGATGGAATCCCAGGAGCTGGGAGCAAGAGGGTCTCAGTGCTGGGAGCCACGAGGGAGATCGGGGGCGATGTCGGGAGCCACGAGGGGCCAGCTCCGGGAGGATGGGGGGAAATTCTGGGAGCTGGGAGCCCGGAGGAGGACGGGGGCGATGCCGGGAGCTGGCACAAGCCGGGCCGGTTGGAGCGGCAGCTGATGAGTGGGAGGCAGGAGGTGCGGGGAGCTGCGGGCAGGGATGGGCTGCTGCAGGGGGATGGAGACGCCCTGATGTCCCCGTACCTGTCCCCAGACTACGCCAAGGAGCACCTGGCCCAGCTGCAGGAGAAAGCGGAGCTGATCGCCGGCCGCATGCTGCGCTTCTCCGTCTTCTACCGCAACCAGCACAAGGAGTATTTCCAGCACGTCAGGTACCCCCAGCCCCATTCCCCAAGCTCCCCGCTCCCAGAGCGCATTCCCTGACCCTGCCTCTGCCTGTCTGTGTGTCCCTCCTCCTTCTCCTCCTCCTCCTCCTCCTCCTCGTGGCAGGATGCACTGCGGGAACGTGATGAAGCCGTCACTGAAGGACAACAGCGGGAGCCACGGCTCGCCCACCAGCGGGATGCTGCACGGCATCTTCTTCAGCTGCAACACCGAGTTCAACACCGGGCAGCCCCCCCAGGACTCGCCCTACGGCCGGTACCGCTTCCAAATCCCGGCCCAGCGCCTCTTCAACCCCAACACCAACCTCTACTTCGCGGACTTCTACTGCATGTACACCGCCTACCACTACGTCGTGCTGGTCCTGGCGCCCAAGGGCTCCTCCGGGGATCTCTTCTGTCGGGAGCGCCTTCCCCAGCTGGACATTTCCTCCAACAAGTTCCTGACGTGCTGCGTGGAGGAGGGCGAGCTGGTGTACCGCCACGCCCAGGACAGCATCCTGGAGGTCATTTACACGGAGCCGGTGGACCTGAGCCTCGGCGTGCTGGGGGAGATCAGCGGCCACCAGCTCATGAGCCTCTCCACCGCCAACGCCAAAAAGGACCCCAGCTGCAAGACGTGCAACATCAGCGTGGGGCGTTAAGGGGCGAGAGAGGGCAGGGCCGGGCAGGGGGATGGCTGCTCGCCTCGGGGGCTTCTCCCACGGACGCTGGTGGGTGGAGGACATGGCTGGGCTCGGGGAATCCGGGAGGTGCCCCGAGGAAGGAGCCGGCGGGATGCTGGCGCAGCAAGGAGGCAGAGCCCGCGCCGCTGTGCGCCCCGAGGGAGGAAGCCTTCATCTCCTGGACTGGCCGACCAGCATCATCCTCGCTGGCGTGAGCCCCGAGCTCTGCCCTGCTCCGCGCAGCCGCTGCGGGACCCCCCATCCCTTCCCCTCCGGTGTCCCCCGCATCCCCCCCACCCCAGGTTCACGCAGCTCTCAGGGAGCCCCGGCCCTGCCAGCCGGGACTGGGGCTCCCCGGCCACTCCAGGGGGGTTCAGGGAGATGTTGGAAGCACCCCCCGGTTTTGAACTGCTCCCGGGGACGGCGGGGTGCTCAGACAGGGACCCCCACTCCTGCCGGCGAGGGGCTGCAGTGGTGCGGGGGACCCTGGGCTTGCCCCCGCGTCCTGTCCCTCTCTGCTCTGCCATCCTGCACCTCCCGAATCCCCGGCCCCGCGGCCCCGGAGGCAGCCGGAGGAGCCGGGGAAGGGGAGAACGGATCTGAAGGCCCCCCCCCATCCCCGTGCCCCCCCCAAACCCGCCGCCCCCCGCATGAGCCGTCGGCAGCATGGCGCTTGCGTGTGGCCCCCCCGGGGTGCCCGCCCCCCGTCTCTGTGTCCCCCCTGCACGCTGTACAACAACCGGCTCCCCGTCCCCGAGCATCCCTGTGCTGTGCTGGAGGTGTTTCAATAAACTCTGTGCGGTCGCCACCGGCCGTGTCACGCGCCTCTGTCCCCTACGGGACCCCAAAAAGTGGCTCGGACACCCCCCAGCTCAGGGGAATGAGGGATGGGACTGGGAGGGGACAAGGTGGCCCTCGCCAGCTCTCAGGAAAGTTCAGGTTGGTTGGGCCTTCCTGGAGATCACCAGGTCCATCCCAGCTGCCCAGGCAGGGTCACCTGGATCAGGCGACATAGGAGCACATCCAAGTGGCTTTGGAATGTCGCCAGAGAGACTCCACCCTTCCCTGAGGTTGTCCCACTGCTCCGCCACCCTTCACGGAAAGAAGTTCTTCCTCGTGTTGAGGTGGAACTTCTGTTTTTGTTTAGGGCCATCACTCCTCGTCCTGTCACTGAAAAGTTCCCCGAACTCCACACCCCTTTTCCACCACGGAGACTGAAAACCCCTCTGGATGAAAACCCCCGGTGCCCATCCCAGTTCGGCCCTTGCAGATCATCCCAGCCCTGGCCCAGACAGGGAAGAGGAGCCTCCCCACGGCACCAGCAGCGAGCACGGGATGCAGGAGGGGTCGAGGCACGTGGGAGCACGCGGTGGGCGCGGGGGCCGTGTCACAGCCCACCCTCCATCTGCCACCGCCGGCGCGGGGACGCGCTGGAGCACGCGGTGGGCGCAGCACGTGGCACCCACCCACCCCACAGCGGGTGCTCTGCTGGCTCAGAGACACCTCAAAATAAAGGTGTGAGGAGAGAACCCACCTGCAGAGTCCTGGGGAGGGGCACAGAGCTCCGAGCCCACCACCCATCGCAGAACCCGCTGTCAGCAGGGGAGGGTCTGGCTTCTCCTTTGTTGGAATTCCTGGCTCTGCTCCATCAGAACCCCAAGGATGGGAGTCCTCCCTTAGGATTGGGGTTCATGCAGAGTCCTGGGTGCTTCCCCCCCAAGTCCAGCCCCATTTTGGATGCTGTTTTGCTGGGCTGGAAGCAAAAAGGCCGGGGCTGCCCCCGCTCCAAGTACAAGGGTATTTATTTCATGGGTACAAGAGAGAGACAGCACCTTGTGTGTGTTGGGCTCTTCCCGGTTACTGGTTTGTACATTCAGAGCTTTGGCCGGGGCAGGGGAGGGCAGCGGGTCCTGCTCGGCCCCCCCAGCACCGGGGTGGGCGGCTGCCAGCGGGGACCCCCCCCCGTGCCCCCGTGCCGTGGGCGCCCGAGCCCCGGGGCCCCGTGCGAGCGTGTCTTGAGTGCTGAGGTTGGCTGTGTGCTCCTCCTCCGTGCAGTCTGTGCGGGGCAGCGCTCCCCGCCGTCCTCCCTGCCCTCCTCCTCCTCCTCTTTCTCCTCCTGCCCTGCCCGCGGCGGGGCCGGGACCCCCGGCCCTCATTTCCTCGTGTGCAGCGTGTCCTGGAACTTGGTGCTGGTGTAGCGAAGGTGGAAACCCTTCTTGTTGATGGTGTCGTCTGAGTGGAAGCGGATCATCACCGAGTCTCCGGCCGAGTAAATCTCCTCGGGGGGCTGCGGGGGTGAGGGAGGGGGTGCTCAGATCCACGAGCAGATCAGGTGCTCAGATCCGGGCTGAGTGGGAATATTTGCAGCGTGGAGGGTGGGAATCATCACACCAGACCAAATTCTTACAGAGATTTCTCTGCAGTGCTCCAGCTGACCATCATCCATCACCCCACACCGTCACTCCTCACTCCCCACCCCATCCCATGTCCCCCTCCATCCCAAGCTCACCCCGGACCCGCAGAAGCGGCCGAGGCGCGGGGCCGTCCCGTCGTAGCCATCGAAGAGCTCCATGTAGTCGTATCCGCAGTCAGCCTCCTCCTCGATCTCGAAGGTCTGGAAGATGAGCTCCACTCCGAACCCTTCCTCTGCCATGATCACCCACTCGCAGTCCGAGCCCCCCGGGTAGTTGTTGTCCCCAAATTGTGCGTGGGAATACAAGTCTTTGGTCTTCACCTCAGCGCGCACCTGGCCTCCACACACTGCGGGAAACGCTGGGGTTTAGGGACACCCAGGCTGTCCCCACACCCCATAACCCCAATTCCCAGCCCCACAGAGGTACCTGTGGTGTGGGTGGCCTCGAACCCCTTTTTCTGGATGGAGTTATCAGACACAAACTTGAGGAACATCTTGTTGCCCGTGGAGACGATGGGCTCGGGCTCCTTGGCCCCGCAGAAGCGGCCGAATGCCGGGGCCTTGGCGTCCTTGCCATCGAAGATCTCCAGGTGGTCATAGGTACATTCCTGCTGTGCCTCCACGTCCAGCTCCGAGAAGGTCTGTGGAGGTTCTGGGTGAGGTCAAGGCTTGGCAGAGATGACCCCGGTGTCACCCACCCCTCCAAGCCCTACCAGCTTGATGCGGTGCCCCGGCGTGGTGCTGATGGCCCAGGTGCACTCCTTCTTACTGGGGTATTTATCGGGCCAGTTGGGGCTGGTGATTGTCCCGGACACAGATGTCACCTTGTGGTCACAGCCAGCTGTAGTGACAGCGAGGAGGGTCAGGGATGTGCGGATGAGGGATTCCTATGGGAATTGGGGTTGGGACGGACCCACCTTCCTTGCAGTCGTGCTTGTTGTCGTGCAGCACGAAGCCGCTGCGGCACTGGCACTCGTAGCTGCCGAAGGAGTTGAGGCACTCGTGCTGGCAGCCCCCGTTGTTCTTGGAGCACTCATCCTTGTCTGGGAGAGAGCAGAGGGATGGCTGAGAGGGCTGGGAAAGCCTGGAATGCTGCATTTCCATCCCAAAAGAGCCCCTCCAGCCCCCCAGCCCCACGCCGCTGCCCTCCAGCCAAGCAAGCGCCCCCGGCCAGCAGCAAGCAGCTCCAGCATCCCGATTCCAGCTCCAGCCCCCGCGGGGGGATGGGACGGCTCCTCCTCTCCCGTGGGCTCACCCATGGGTGCCACCATTACCTGTTGCTGGGGCGGACGGGGGGGAGGCAGAAAAACACACAGTGACAACCAAAGATGCACAAGAAAGACCAGGACGCGGGAGTCCCTCTTTACTCATCGATAGGAAATGTCACAGACACGGTAAAAATTGGGGGGAAGAGGGGGGGAAAAAAAAACAAAACAAGGTCAGCTGGTCAATGACAAAACCAAGGGGGTGGGTGCTTAGAACCAAAAAAAAAAAAAAAAAAAAAAAAGAAAAAAAAGTTTAAAAAAAAAGTTAAAAAAAAAAATAAAAATAAAAAACAACCAGTTCTGTCAAGCAAAAGGCTGCCGGGGCCGGCAGCACGGCTCGGCTCGGTCCCACCGTGCTCCCACACGGCTCCGGGGCCGCGGAGTTCCTGAGAAAGACGGAGAGGATGGAGAGGCTCAGGAGGGGCCCCGCGGCCGCTTCTGCATGCGGAACTTCAGGCCGGGCGGGCGAGATTTCGGGGGCTGCAGCTGCTGCTTCTTCTCTGCAAAGAGAGAGGGAGAGAAGGGGGGGAGCGATGGGGGGGCGGGGGGCGGCGGGGGGCGGCGGGGGCAAGCGGAGCGGCAGCCGGGCAAGCAGCAGCGAGGGGGGACCCCCGGGAACCCCTCAGCGGCCGGAGGGGCGAGCGGCTCTGCGGGGAGGAAGAGGAGGAGGAGGCACGAGGCTGTGCCCCGGAAGGATGAGGATGGGCTTTGGGTGGGTTCCTAGGGGTGTCCGGTCTAGGAATGGCAGTGGAATGGGTTTGGGATCACTCCGAGCTGACCGGATTTACCTCCCACCACCTGCCCGAGCCCCCCCAAAAACCCTTCCACGTCCTATCGCTCCCCCTGCCCACGGGGCGGTGTTTTGGGGGGTGGGCAGCGGCATGGGGTGGGGGGAAGCCAACAGCAAGCGGGCACCAGCCCCCCCAGCGTCCCGCTCCGAGCTCACAGCGATGCCGGAGAGGAGCCGGGATCCCTCCTGGAGCCCCCCGGCCCCGCGGCCGCCTCTCAAGCGGAGGCTGTAACCTGACGTCTCCTCGGTGTGAGGGAGGAGGAAGCGAGGCGGAAAAGACCCTTTTGGGTTTGGGAAGGGGCTTCTGGGCTCAGAGCAGCTCCAGCACCGCGGGGGGAGCTGGCGGGACGGAGGGAGCCTGGGCGGGCGAGACAAGAGCAGGAGAGAGTTGGCAGCGGAAAGAAGCCCACCGGGTCGGTGTCTTTAGCAATCCTTTATTCCAACCAGCTTTGCTCGCCGCCACCCGGCATCGCCGTGCGCTCACCGCTCTCCCCCGGGGGCATCCGACGGCTCCGGGCTGCTCACCGCCCCCGCAGCCCCCTGGCAGCGCCTCTCCCCCCGCTGCGGACCCCCCCAGCGCCGGGGCAGAGCCGGGGGGACGTACCTGGATGCCGACACCTTGGCGGATTCCCGGGCGGAATGCGCTCCGACGGAGCCCCGGCCCGCGAGGAAGAGGAGGAGGAAGAGAAGGAGGAGGAAGAGGAGGAGGAGGAAGGGGTCACGTCTTCACCGGGGAAAAACGGGAGCCCGGACTGCCAGGCTGCCCGCGGCACAGAGGGACCGGGCTCGTCCGGAGCACGGGGACCCTCCGCGGCCAAAAAGGGGCCGCACGGGAGAGGTTTTGCCC